AGTCACTTGAGACATCTGAGCCTGTGTAAAAGCAAGAATGAGTTAGAACCTGAAACTTGCATACAGAAGAAAAGAATCATGAGATGTGAGATGCCTATGCAGCATTGCTTACCTGAGTCTGAGAGATCACTCCTGCTGCTATTGTTGGACCCTGACTCCATACTCCTGCTGCTGGCAGGTGTGCTGAAATCAGTCAGTCTTTGAACCAGTTTGCCCCAGGACAGCCTTCTGTCGCTGCTGTCCACTGGAGAAGGAGGTGAGCTGCCGATGTCAGTATATGCAAAGAGTTCAGGCATGGTTGTCCTCCCTGCAGTATCAGCTGCTTATGTGGTCAACTGTCACAGGAGAAACAAAGGCAACAGATGAGCACCCAACTACTGCCGTTAATTCCACGTTTAACGACTTAATTAAACATACATATCAGGCTTTTGAGGTATAGCTTTCTGCTAAAGATATGAACAATAAACATTTTCAAAAAGAACACCTTTTTAATTTGACTGCAGCTAGAAGCTGTTTCACTGTCAAAATTAGCTGTAAACTAGCAAAACCGGCAAATAAATTAATTGTACTTACTCGTTATTTAAATTCTGCGTGGTTCAAGGTCGCGGTGGATGTTTAAGATGCGTAGTTTTAACGGTTATTGTCTGCAATTTGTATATGGAAACTTCTTTCCTCTGCTCTTCTTCTCTTTCTCTCACCAGCTGCCAAGCTCTGCAGTCTGTCCTGCAACAATGTTTATATATGTGGGCTGCGAGGCCACGCCTGTCTCTCCCTAACCAGCCAATCAAAAAGAGAGGCACGACACCAGCGCTGCTTCTTGCCTGGTAACATGCCAGCAGAGAAGAAAGACAAACAGGAGGGGGAGGAGGAGGAGGGGGGGTGGTGGGGGATGAATAGCAGACCCTAGTGTTATGGATATGTTTCAGGGGACTTGAGTGGGCTTGAAAATGATCTTGTTGTTTCTTTGTTTGATATCTTATGTGGGTATTTGGTAAACCGTTTTTCTGTATGTGCACCTACATTTTAACAGAATGTAGGCCTGGATGAGCAGGTTCAGTGTTGCAGTGCACATTACGTCACCTGTTTTGCTAAACCATTACATCAGAATTTTTTATCTGGCACACAGAGATGCAGAGAACACTCAGTGCGCTGTGCTCAAGGCAAAACAGATAATAAAAACGGCTATGGGACACCTCTTTCTACATTTACCCTTGAGTTACAAACAAAAAGACTGCACAGAAATTACATATGTTATCATCATCATCATTATTAGAGTTATTTAGCAACGTTCTATGCAGAAATGCGCCGGGGGGTTGTTATTGTAGCATCTTTGCACCATTTATTACTTCATCACAAAAGATAGCAAAGTGTTTTAAGGCATAACACAAACTGTGTATGAGAGTAAAAACATATAGCGGATTTGTTAGAATGCAAAAGCAAGTTATTTGTGTCGGGGCCATAGGCTACATACTACACATTTTGCTCACAGCTGTATGTTGGAAAGCAGCCAGAGGCTACGCTGCATTTCTGCACATGTGTAGGCGTGGAATACACTGTACTTTGTTAGACAGGAACTGAAATACATAAACACGTGTAGGAACACTATGTTCTGAGGTGGGTGCTATAAAAAAGTTATCAGAAATCTTTAGCAGGGGACGTGGAGTAAGAAGATTTAGTAGCTTGAGTAAAAACAACAAAAACTATGAGAAATCACTTTTTAATTGGATTCTCAGAAAGTGTGGCCAGAAACAAACTAGAAAAAGAAATTTAGGCTCCAGCCAGAGGTGTGTCCTGTTGTGTTCAGGGCTGTCCTGAAACACTCAGTACAGTACAGTACACTCTGTACACTCCCACCCTTCACTTGCTTGAAGACAATCATTCACTGAGGAAAACACCAAGTTTGCACGTTTACTCACTGTCACCACAAGACAAAAGTGGCACGGAAAACTGCACTGATGGGTTTCAGACTTTAGCAATATCAGCAATATCAAAATACATACCACAAAAAAAGCAGCACAAATACTTTTCTATCCTTGGATTTAACAAAACTTAACACAGTGAGGTGGAGTTGGACAAAATACACACCAGGCAAAACAAACAGCAACCAATGTGAAGAATGTCCCAAGTCTGATTTTATTTACAAGCTCTCTTTGTTTTGTTCCAATTGCTGGTGGAGTAAGGACATACACAGAAAGGAGAAGAGACCAACAGTGCAGCAGGCTTTATGTTTATAAGTTACATTGGAGCCATTTGGAAACACAATGCTTCTCTTCCAGGGATTTAATACCAAATGTAGTATTTACATTAACATGAAGGCTAATTCCAATGAGAGAATCATCTTGAACAGCCTAAAGCAGATGGAAAATCTGTTAACTTGTGAATTGTGTAGTTACTAATTTATAAGAATGTTGTTGACAAGATTTTATTTAGTATGCTGGGTTTAATGTAATAAGTGGTTTAAAAATAAAACAATCATATAGAAGTGATAAAATAACACATCTCACATTTGGGATCTCCAGATAACACTTTTAAACTTATGATACAGAATACAGAAGGAATATCATGTGTAACTTGAAAAAAAAAAAGGGTTACATTTTCCTTCTATTTGGCTGATTAAATAAGCAAAAGACATCTGAATCTCTTTATTTAAGATGGTGTGAATCCCAATAGCTGTTCAATAGGTTTATACCGCCACTCGTCTGCTTCTAGCTCCTCCACCAAGCTCGCGAGTTTCTCCATTCGAGACACTTGCTGATCTGTAAGAATGGACATTACTCATTAGTATACCTGTTTCTATTAGATCAGGGGTGTCAAATATAAAGCCTGGGAGCCAGAACTAAAGATTTTAATTCGGCCCACATGGCTTTAGAACAACTGAAGGTGGGCATAAATTTTAGCCTTTTATACAGTTAAAATGCAGTTAAATAATGCTAACCATTTATATGATGCCAACGTGATTAAGTAACGGATCAAAACAAAAAATGTGTTTTTTCACCGTCTATATATCTCGCAGGGATTAAATTTGTAGTTACACTGTGAGAAACGGGAGTTTCACTCATCCAGCCCATTTAAGATGAAGGTAGGCTATATGTGGCCTGTAATGTAAAATGGGTTTGGCACCCGTATTAGATCAACCAAGACTAATGTGAAGCTATGCAAATATAGTTAGACTTACCATGTTTAACCTGTTTCAGTGTTGAGGCCACTTGGTAGCTGAATACAGACTCGCATAAAAATCTGTCAGAGCCATCTAAAAAGAAACGTAAAATGAAAAAAAAGGTCAGTCAAATAAAGAATTCTTATTCAAGCTTTCGTCTCCAGGGTAATAAAAGCCAAAACATAGATTTCAAGCTACATCAGAAAGAGATCTTAAAATATTTCATATATTTATGACATAAGAAGTACAACAACAGTAAAATACAGCTAAAATAGTTTTGGGTTTTTTAAAAAACCTTACAATGTCAAAGCCTAAGAGACAACATCCATTAGTATACACTCAACCACCATTTTATTAGGCACACCTGTTTAGCGGCTTGATAACGCAAACATGCAATCAGTGAATCACGAAATCAAGAAATGCTGCATGGTCAGATGAGTCTCGATTTCTGCTGCCACATTTTTAGGGTCAGAATTTGGCGGGACCAATATGAAAGTATGGATCCTTCCTGCCTTGTATCACTGGATCTCGCTATTGATGGTCTAATTGTGTGGGAGATATTTTCTTTCTTGAGTATGATTTAAATGCCACATATTACCTGAGTATTGATGTTGATAATGTCCACCCCATTATGAGAACGGTGTACCCATTTTCTGATGGCTGCTTCCAGCAGGATAACACACCATATCACACGACTCAAATGATCTCAAACAGGCTTTTTGAACATGACAATGAGTTCACTGTATTCAAACTTCCTCCACAGTCACCAGGTGGAACAAGAGATTTGCATCATGGATGTGCAGCAACTGTTTAATAACATCATGTCAATATGGACCAGAAACTCGGAAGAATGTTTCCAGCACCTTTGTTGAATCTATGCCATGCCCCACACAGCTTAAAAGGCTTAAGGGTTTTGCTTTATCTTAATTTGTCTACCATGTGCAAGAGAAAGCTCTTGATTGTGAAGAAGAGAGGCAGACTCTGCTTTGTAGTAACATATCTTTCTTAAATACTTTAGAAACACAGGCACATATATTCTCAGTGTTATACTAAAGTTGGCAGATATTATGATATTAAGGTATTATGTTGCAAACCTCCTACCATTATATATGATTTTCATATGATTTCTATTTCCTGGCTATTTGGGAGCATTTGGGCAGCTTTTATACAAGTACTTTTATCCGGTTTTCCTTCATCGTACCTTCCATCATTTCCCCTGCGCCTTTTGGATACGTATAGAGGACTTTCCTTGGTGGGATGAGCTCGGAAGCACTGAACCCAGAGCCAGTCACGGAGCTGCCGCTCACTCCTCCCGCAGAAGAGGACGAAGAAGACGCGGCCATTGCCTCGATAAACTTTAAACAACACACACAACAACGACTGTTGTTACTACCAGTTTAATGTGTCAAACACAGATAAAGCAAGGTGGTTCGTGCTCTAGTAATCACAAAGGCTTTTAAACATCCAAACCAACCGGTAGGGGTTAGCTTGGAAGGACTGTTTCACTATTTTTAATGATACAACATTGCTAGCAATAAAGCTAACTATTCTGCTTATACTGTTGATGATAACCACCCAGCAGAAATATTAACAAATATAATATGGCATTAAGTCTCCATTTTTATTCAAAAGTACAACTTACCGTCGATGTCACAGCAAATATAACAACTTAAAATCCAGCCAGTTTTTGTTGTTTTTCAGACGTATACCAGTAGTTTACGACAGAGACCGCATTTTACGTTTGTCGCGACAGGGGGTTGCAGCTATCGCAGATTTTACAATCATAGGGATGGCTCGTCTCAGTCGTCTGTTGCTAAAAGGTTGTTCAATCACTTTTGTAGATCTGTTAACACATTTTCCGACACATTTAAAACGTCAATAACCAGGACAGTTCCAACTAGCTAGCTAAATAAGTTTTGAAAGACAGACTTTTTTATTTTATACAATTTTCACTTAGCTGACAAGCTAGTATATTATCTATTAAGTGTTTTTGACGTCACCAAAAGTCACCTCAGTATCGCCTGAACCGTCGTTTCTGTTGTCAGATTTGCACAGGTTTGCTAACACTAGCTAGTTTACCAGTATGGATGTCTTACGTCCTCCTCTTATAAATATAAATGGAAGAATATACCGCAGGAATATAATTAAGGAAGAGCATTATGAGGAAGAGGAAGAGTTTTCTTACATGGGACCACCAGGTAAGTCGAGAACTATCCGCTAACAGGTAAAATACATGTTTGTAAGAAGCTCCAGATAATGCTTTCAGATTTTAGCACAGTTTCTTTTTAAAAATGTGAGTATATTTCTGTGTTTCTAGATGATGAAGAGCTTGGAGAAGATGAAACCTGTGATACCCACTTAATTGAACAGAGTGATAAAGGATATCGCTGTGCCATCGATGTCCCAAGTGTTCTTTACAAGTGTGTCATCAACAGTAGACCTTGCTTTGGTTGTCCTTAACCTTTCACTTTCTGAAAATAATACAAGATTCTGTAAGCAGCATAACGTCTGTCTGTGTTTCTCTGTTTTCTTTGTGTTCTGTAGATACATCATTGGGAAAAAAGGAGAAACGCGTAAACGTCTGGAGTTTGACACAAAGACGTCTATTAACATCCCAAAACAAGGAGTGGAAGGGCAGATTGGTGGGGACTAAGGGCAAATGTCACTTAAAAACTGAACAGAGAGCAAAAGATATTTCCCTTCACTCATTTCCCTCCACTCTCTCATTGTGTAACAGTCATTACAGGTTCCACCAAAACTGCAGTTTCATCTGCTGTCACTCGGGTGGAGGTCCTTGTTGAGAATTTCCGGAGGAAGCAGCCCTTCACACACTTTTTGTCATTCCCTTTAAACGACTCAAAAATTCAAGAGGGATTCCTGAGATTTAAAGATGAGGTTTTGAAGCAATGTTCACAGGTATCTTCTGTAAAAAGGAACCAAAATATAACTGGTGATAGTGAGGGGCAGTTATGGCAATGTATTGCTTAAGGAGAGCATTTTACACCATTAACAAATTCCATGTTCTGTAGGATCATGGAGTAGAGGAAAGCATATTTCAGAACCCTGCAAAGCTCCACTTGACCATTGGCACCTTGGCTCTGTTAAATGAAATGGAAGTGAGAAAAGCATGTGAACATCTCCAAGAGTGTCAAAACTTCATCAGGTAAGGCTCGAACAAGGTTATTGCATTATACAAAGCACTTAATGATTTTGGTGTATGACTACAAAAGAAATTGCACTGTGAAACAGAATGAAATGTTAAACATAAGCAATCTAAAAATAAGTAAATAAAATAAGAGCAGTAAAAAAAAAATGTATATGTCAAACAATCACTGACTGAAAAATACTAACATTATAAAATGAAACACAAAATTATAAATTATACAACAATCAGTAAAATAATCCTAATAAAATAATGTCACACTAGTTTATAGATTTAAAGAGCCAAAACAATAAAATTGCAAAACAAAGTAATGTTTAACCTTCCTAATGAAAATCCAGGGTAAAGTTTAAAGATTTCAACATTTCCAGCTGCTGTTCCATTGCAAAAAAACTAAAAGCTGCCTCCCTTAAAGCTTTTGCTGTGCACTTAGGATCGACTAGCAGAATCCTGCTCGAGAACCTATTTGTTCATATTGGTTCATATTTTCAAAACTTATGTGGTTCTTTAAAAAAGGAGAAAAATCATTTAAAAATCATCTGTAACTGTCAGTCTTATGGGTTGGTAAAAATGTTTTGTTCATTGGTGTATGCTTATACATCAGTTATTAGTTACACCTTTCAAGCATCCTTTTTTGTTTTCAGAGTGGCCTCTGAAAGCAAAAAAGTGGCCTTCTTCATGACGTTGATTCAACAAGGTGTTGACAACATTCCTCTGACATTGTGGTCCAGTTGCTGCAGATTTGTCAGCTGCACATTTATGAGAATCCATCATTCTACCCAAAATGGTGAAATGGTAAATGGCCTGTATTTGTATAGCGCTTTACTAGTCCCTAAGTACCCCAAAGCGCTTTACACATTCAGTCAGCCACCCATTCACACACACATTCACACACTGCTGATGGCAAGGTACATTGTAGCCACAGCCGGCCTGGGGAACACTGACAGAGGCGAAGCAAAAGAGGCAAAAGAGTTTTATTGAATTGGGTTCTATTGACTTTGGAGGGCAGTGGAATACAGTGAACTCAACTTTGTGAAACCAGTTTGAGATGATCAAGCTTTGTGACATGATTCATTATCCTGCTGGAAACAGTCAGCAGAAGATGGGTACACTGTCTAATAAAGGAATGGACATGGTCAGTAGCAATTCTCAGATTGGTACTAATGGACCCAAAACGTGCCAAGAAAACAGTAGCCAAACCACTACACCATCACCAGCCACTGTATACAAAGCAAAATTGATCCATGCTTTCATTTTATTTACTCTGATTTGAATGTTGCTGGACTCCTCAGACCAGGCAACATTTGTAACATTTTGTTGAGCACATGCGAATTGTGGCCTCAATTTCTCGCTTTTAGCTGACAGGAGTGGCACCCAGTGTGCTCTTCTGCGGTTGTGCATTCAGACATGCTCTCGGCATTGCTTGGTTGTAACTAGTGGTTATTTAAGTTAGTGTTTCCTTGCTGTCAGCTTGTAGCAATCTGGCCATTCTCCTCTGACCTCAGGTATTGACAGGAAATCTTTATGTAAATTCAGTGAGTTATGAATGCAGTGTGTGGACTGAATTGTTGCATCGTTGTTAACTTTCTGACCAAGTATCTCCAGCCTTATTTCTGAATAGGAGAACCCGTGTCACTGTACTTTACTACCTTGATTAGCTGTTTACATACCCAGACAGTTTCACTTATTTAAAAAAATACAGTTTGTGTTACAGTACAATGGTTTTCTTTGTCTGATTTTTCATTAGAGACATCACTGAAGGAAAACCTCTCCCACTGGAGGTGACAGGCATAGAGTACATGAATGATGACCCAGCAGTGGTGGATGTTTTGTATGCGAAGGTCAATGTTCGAGATGGATCTGACAGGTTAGTACATCAGTGAATAGTTAAATAACAACATTACAAATATCCAACATTTTACTGTTTTAACTTTATTTCTTTAATCTCTGTTCTATTTTAATGGAATCACATTATAGGTTGCAGGTGATTGCAGACAGACTGGTAGAGCATTTTGTCTCTGCAGGGCTGATGGTCCGAGAGTGGGACAGAGTAAAGCTACATGGTACTGTGATGAACACTCTGTTCAGAAAAGACTCCACAGGTAAAGACATAAACACACACATGCCAGCCTAACTCGCACGAAGGCATAGTAGAGAAGTTATTGAACTGCTGGGATCGTATTGATTGCTGCCACCCAGTGGATGTTTGCCAATTTTCCCTCATTATCTTTTGGCTTGGAGTGTAGCTGCAGTGACGACAAAGCAGAGTCTTGACCAATTCTGACAACAAAATTGTGCAGAGAGGAATTGGGGAGGCAGTTCTCTGTTTGGCCACAGTTCTGTTTACGTGCACTGAGCTGCATGTTTTCCAAGTACTCTGACAAAAGCTTCATTCATTTTGGACATGGATCAAGTCCAGGAGCAGTTCTCAAATTTGTACTGGGCTTACCAGGAACACAACACAGAGACTGTGCCACTGCTGACCATGTTTACCGCCTTGTGGATAAGCCCTATTAAAATTTAGTTTTTTTTTCATCTTCTTAGTCCCTATTTCACAAACTAATTTTACTAACTAAATGTCCTTGATTTTGCTCGTACTGTTGTAAAGCCACTGACAGGTTCAAGTAAACATGTTAGTTTATCACTGAGATAACATATCTGTATCTGTGTGTTCTGTGCTTTATTGATCAGCTTGTTCTTTACACTCTCGTGTTTTTACAGTGGAAGATACAGGCGCAGCAGGACGTCAAACCGTCAATGAAAGAGAGGCTTTTGATGCCAAAAACATACTAAAGGTTAGTTGAAATTTACTACTGGATTGAGACACATACTCACTTCTTGACTGCAGTTAATAACAATATGGTAGGCAACAGCACTGGGCGGGATGGAGGTGCAGTGGTTAGTAGTGCCAATGCCACAGTAAGACAGGTGCTAGCTTGAGTCTCCTTGACTCCTGAGGCTTCCTTGTGGCATATGCATGTTCTCCTTGTGCTTTTCTCTGGGGTCTTTGGCTTCCTCCCACAGTAAAAATTGTTTTGGGTGGTCAAAAAGCCTAGATAAGTGCTATATAAAAGCCAGTCCATTCAAAAAAACATTTTACTGTATTGGCACAATATGCATAGTTTCAATTGGGGAAAAAATAAAATACAGTGTTAGAATTTTGTGTATATACTAATTGGGAAAATGTATAAAAACTCTAAAATGCATAAATAAATAAATACAAATGCATCTTAATTGCTATGTTCAGGAGCTTGCAGCAATATTACACTATCCAATTGATGCAACATTGTTTTTGTTTAAAGTATATTGTGTATAGATTTTCCAGCTGTGGTTGACTTGTCCATAGCTCGTCCCATGTGATCTTGTCAGTTAATTGCTTCTTTGCTCTTTTAGTGAAAAAAACATGAAAATTGAGAGTATTGTATTGATTTTTGGTTCTGATTTACATTTATCTTCTTTAGGGAAAAGGTGTTTTCATTTCACCTGGGACAAATCAATTATGTTCTCACATTAGTTGTGATACGAGCTATGTAATTTAACGTTAAACCACCTGACCTGCTTCACAGCAGTCCAGGCTCAAATCGTGTTTAGTTATGACTTCATGTCCAGTTGGGAAACACTGATGCACTCTTGTTTTGCCACCTTGAAACTGAACCAGTAATAACAATTACCTCATGTGCTTCTCCTAGTGTGATATGTCAAAATTGGTTCCCCCCACCTATTTTTTTTGTGTCACAGCTGTAGACCTTTTATATTAAAAGAGGAGTGAGCCTCAGGTCTGAAAAGTGAAGCCAACCTCGACTAGCTTGTAATTTTTAAAGGGGATTTGAGCAGTAGTTATTCAGGGTTTCTGATTGTCCTTCAAAGTTTTTTTTGGACATTGGCTATATAGGAATTTTGTTAAGCTACTTAACACTGACCTATGATTCAATCATAAAAGAGGTTCAAGGAATGAACAAGTGCTGCCTACACATAACAACCAATATTCAATTGTGTCTTTAGGCACTTTGTTAGAAATTGCTTCTCGTAAAAACACATTATTTGTTCCAATTTCTTTAATTCAGTCTATGAAAAATTCTAAAAATAACAGTTTGACAGGCATAAAATAATATTTTGTACCAGCAAGGTGGTTCCCAGTTAGGTACTAGCCAAAAACCTAGCATATCTCTGCCTGGTAAGCAGTGTGTCCTTAAAGAATCTTAAGAAAACTGGACAAAGTGAACAAAATAAGACGTGACAGGCCTAAAAAAGTGTCTGCAGCAGACACTGAACACTACATGAAAGTGACACTTTTCAAAAAAACAACTTGCCAAAATTCTAAAGTTGAGGCTTCAAAGTGAGCCCACAAATTAATGTGTGTTTCTATGTCCATCATTTATATACAGTCTGTGCTGACTGACTACTGAAAACCTGCTATTTTGGCAGAAATATTAGGGAACACTACTTAAGAATGTACTTTATTAGCAGTTGTTATTTTTGGTTAAAAAATAAATAAATAAAAAAAAATAACGCACCAGTACAGCTCAAAGACTCTTGGTTGTTTGTGTTGTTTAAAAAAAAAAACACTTGTCAGAGTCAGGTTGCAAAAATCTTCCTGGTGGAGTTTTGACAACTGAAATGCGACACTGGAGATGAAAAGCTCTGACATTCACCTTCCCCTCCTCTACAGAGAAGGTCTTTGTTTGAATAACAACATTGTTGCTGCTGTTTTTTTTTCCCTCTGGAAGTGACACAAAGGTAGCAGGCAAACACTCAGCCACCTATAAATATGATAATACCATGTTTGCGACAGCTTACCTTGTTTTCACAATAGAATTTGACAAGCAGTTTTTAACTTTCTAACACAGTGCTGACTGTTTGATGTCAACACAAGTTGTCCTGCTTTGTTGTTTCACACGGTTGTCTGAAATAGTCTTGACTGTATGGATGGATAGATGGATGGATGGATGGATGGATGGATGGATTGTTACAAGTTTATGAATTTAATGTGTTTTCATTACAGAAATTTGATGCTTATTGTTTTGGAGAGTTTGAGCTGAATACTGTCCAGCTGTCCCAGAGATATTCAACAGACTGCACTGGATACTACAGCTCTGCAGGGAGCATCAGCTTGTCTTGAGCTCATGCAAGAGTGAGCATATACTGAGGTGGGAAAATTAATAAAGTTTATAGCTTTGAGAGCACTGCAGCATTCGTGATAGTTCTGTCCAGTAGGTGGCAGCATAGATTGAGTCATTTGGCTGTTAACAGAGAGGTGGAGATTGGGTCATGGTTATCCCTTTAATAGAGAAGAATAAAAAATATTAGATGTACTTTGTAAACCACAGTGCCCAAATGAAACATAGAAATCTAGTTAAATGGAATTTTCAGATACTTGTTTTTATTTAGTTTTTAGTTTTATTCCACATTTTTTTGGCCTGGTATATTTATCTGACAAGTATTTGAAGATAAGATTATACATTAAAACATTTGCTCTTTCATGTATTCCTAAGGACTAAAAAGCTCATAAAATGTATACAATTTTAATAACTTTTATATTTATATCAAATGAAACAGAAAGTTACAGGAAGAAGACACTCTTATAATCCTGATCATTGTAAAAATGAATAGTTTATGAAAATTAATAGGCAATTTGCAGTTACTTCAGCTATTTCTGTAATGGCCAAAGTAGCTACAACAGTAGCTGGCTGCTGTCAGCAGGATAGTGCATAGTTTATACTGCTGTAGTGAATCTACATAGAGCCAGTGACGTACCCTATGGAAGTGGCCAGTGCTGTTGCCAACATTTCTATCTGTATTGGCTTTGTCGACGGGGATGTGTAGTTATATCCCTAGGGAGGTGCATATCAGGTTACAGTGTAGGGTTAGAGAAGGGTTTGTTGTTACAAAATACCTATGGTGTTGATTTTACACAGAAATATAAATACCAAATTGTGCCATGCCACAAAGCTCAAAACATCTTAGTGGTTTCTTAAACATGACAGTGAGTTCACTGTTTTCACACAGTGACCACAGTCACCAGATCTCAGTCCAATAGAGGACCTCTGGGATGTGATGGAAAGGAAGATTGGCATCAAGTATATGCAGTCTGTATCACCTGCCTGATGCTGTCAAGTCAATGTGGACCATAATCTTTGAGGAATGTTTCCAGCAGCACAGTAACAATTTCATCTAAATATTTGGCTTAAACAATTTACAATCTTTGCATCTTGTTCATGTTTACACTTTACACAGCATCCCAATAGATTCAAATGCAGATCTTCTGCCAAACTGGCTTCTATAGCTGTCCAAACACTGGTTGAATTTCATGCTGCTCTAATCTCTTGCTTGCAGTACTCTAGGTCATAGCCATGATTTACACCTTTCCTTTCATCCTTTCAACGCACTGCCTCATGAAAGTATGAATGCATCACCGATATGATCTTTCAGACCTTTTTTTCTCCTCCAGCTTTTTTTTTTCCATCATTTTTCTTTAAATCTTTGCCTTTCCCACATGAACCTTGTCTTCACTCCCGACTGTCAACAGTGTCAGTGAATACAGACACTTGCTTTTGCCGTCACAGCCTTTTTTTTATTTTCGCTTTCCCCTCAGCTGGCAATGCTCTCTGCTTGGAATGCAGGAGGGTGATTGCCAGGCAGCCAAAAGTTACACTGATAAAAACAAAGGGGTCTTTTTGTTTGTCAGCTTTGCAACCCTGTCCTATCCACCCTCCCATCCCAGCAGTGGCATGATTTTCTTTTCTTCTCTTTTTTCTTGAAGCTGCTTGCACAGATTCCCATGCAGATTTTGTTATTGGATATAGACTAGCCAGCTGAGCTGCCCATACCCTCACTATTTCATTGTCTTGGAGTGGGATCTTTTCCGACCTAGGACCTGGGACCTAATTAATCATGCCCAGAGCTCTTGACAGCATGCTTTTTAGTGGGTCAGGATTGCATCCAACGTAAAAGCACTCCAGCTAATAACAGAATTCTGACACTTGCCAATACTATTGCTCCTAAGCACAAAAAGAAAGCATCACAAGGCAATTGAAATTTGATTGAATTCATTGAGACTATGCCTCTGTTTTTCTTTTGGCAGGGACATGATTGAGGATGTTTTGCACAGATGTCCGCATTAATGATTGTACTGAAAACACATGAGGAAACATACGTCATCCGTAGACACGGACTCTGAAGACAGATACGATTTGTCCTGAGACTTAATATAACGCATTCAGACTGACTGTTTATTTAAATGGCCATATGTCTTCTTAGCTGTATAGATCGGGAGCATATTGGATTATGGCTGCAATGAAGGAATAATTTCTCACTATCAGACATTCATATTGTCTTGATAAATTGGTTAATTATCTATGAAATGTCAGGAAATTTGGAAACATGGGTAACATTTAGGATGCCAGATTTAACATTGATAAGTTGGAAGCAAACATTTAGTAAATGGTTTTTGAAACTGTAATTTAGTTTTAATTAAGTTAAAGGCTTCGTGTTTAATATTTAATAAATTTTCAGTCTGTTTTCAGCTATAAATGTGTCCAAGTAAGAATTTGCTCACAAAAAGATTGATAGATTGCTACATTGTATAGATTATTTAGCAAATGTTTTTTATGTCTGTTATTTATATAGATAGGACATAATATAAAAAGTTGCTGAAAAAATTATTACTACAGTCTGTCTTTAAATCACTTGATTTCTGTAAGGCTAAAGTCCCAAAAAGGCCTAGAAGACCGGTCAGTCACTCTCTAGGGAAAAATGTATATCGACCAAGTCAAGGTTGGAGACAGTTGCTCGTTAAAACTGGTTGCAAGCAGTGAAAACTGTGACCAATTTCACCTTGTGTCTGCCAACAACCTCCAGGAAGCACTTGCCACCAGCCAAAGAATATACATTTTGCCCTAACCACCAGTGCTTGCCAGATGTTTGCCAATAGGTCTCTAGGACTGTGTGACAAGGGCCTAATGCTCCAATCAAACTAGGAAAAACAGTAGTTGAAGATCGTGGCATGATCATGACTACTCAGCCTGCGATGGTGACCAAATCTCCAACCACTCGCAGTCAGTTGTTCTCTTCAAAGAACCTTTGGTACATTAGGTTGGCGATAAAACGGCAATAACACAAAATCAGTCTGTTAAGAGTTTCTAATCTGTTGCAATTTTTTGCAAAGCTGTTGTCTACACACAGAGACAAACATATTAAACAGAAATATCTGAAACAATTGTTTCTTGACTGGACACAGTTACACATTTTTCAAAAACAGCCTTTATTGTACTGCTAACATTCCTAGTAATGCCCCATAAGGTCCTAGTCAGAAAAAAAACTTTATTTTGGCTATGAAACCACATGTCATATTTCCTACACCATGACACCCTGTTGTCACAACGTAAGCAATTTTACGTTTCATCTGAGTGGTCAGAATGTCACGGCTTATCTGTAAACATAGTTAAATGTGGCTTTGCATGTCCGTGTGGGTGAGCTTGCTTACGCACTGCCCGACATACATAGTTTTTTCTGTCTCTGCCACATCCCTCTACCTAATTAGTCATCTCCGCAGTCCCTGCAGTGAGAACATCCAACTAGACCCTTAAGATTTCAAAACTAGCATGAGCCAATTTAAATAAGACTGATAAATGAGACCCCTGCGTGTGTTGGTGTTACCAGCGACCTCTTTCCCTTTGTGGATCTGCGTCTCTATTTCTAACGATCTAAAGGGACAGAGGAGATGGGATTTTAATTAAAACGTTACACATTTTAGCTGTTTATGCAGGCATGTGTGCATGTGCTTGTTTACATGCACTGATAAGCATTTAGAAGGGCGGTAAACGACACCCACTGAAAATGCGCCTTTGCAGTATAAAACAAGCTGATAAAACCTTATTTTCCAGCCAATTTGTTTTTGTGATTTTTAAAAGGATTGAAAGCAAAAGCAATCATTTCGTTGCGCCTGCAACACTTTTAGAACTTGCACTGAACTGTTCAGTAATAAGAAATTCATATCACATTTGGTAACTGAAGTCTTGTTATCTTGACCAAGTATTGTACCCCCCGCTCCCCCAACCCGATTTGCATAGTTAATTTCATGGCAATGTTCAAAGTAGCCTTTTTAAATGCAAAAGCCAGTTTTTAAATGGGTTTTACTTGATCACTGTCAGTTTTTTGTTTTTTTTTTGTTTTCTTTTTAGTACATTTCGGATTTTGATATTCAGAGCCACACTTTGGAATTTTTCATAGGGTAATTAGAAATTAAGCTTTCTTTCCATATGGAAAGCGTTAACGTCTGCTGGGGGAAAAAATAGATTTTGGCTGACAGACATGACCTTTAATACAGTAGATATGTTTGATTTGCATGCTTGGAGTAACTAATGACATGCATCAAATCAATTAAGTGCCTAATTACTTTTTAAGGTCACAGTAAGGTTTGCTCAGTGTACACTCAGACTGATACAAATAATATTTTAAATCAAATATGACATATCGAAAGGTGGTTTGGGCCTTTTTGTGCCGTGTATTCCTCTAACACACTTGAATCCAGTTGTATGAACTTATTCACTTGTGTTCACGGGAAGTAGAAAGGTGCTCTATAAACAATCCTGCTAGACAAAACTGAAATTTCGAAACTGGATATCATTATGGGTGAAATATGACGGCGTGCCTTTTTTAAACTCTCTTATGTTTGACTCTCCAGTCGTGTGTCACCACCGACTGAATTTCACACTGATCACTCTGTCACTAATAGACGTAAACGGGGCCTTGATGGAGAGCCAAGGCTAGAGTATTTGAAATGTCTAATATGTGTCTCTAGCAAAAAGGCAGGTGATCCCTGCACCAGCTCTTTATCATTCAGAGTGCTGAGTCTGGAGGCTGCCTGCAGCTGTCCACGTCTGTTTACTGCTGGAGGCAGAGGGAGGGAAGGCAAAAAGCCTAAAGTGTTTGAACAGTAAGAAGTCATTCAGAGCTACTGTTTACTTTATGTACACTTAGCACTACAAGATTTTAAAATGGGGATTATCATCACCAGTTACATTCTGTTACTTAAAAAAAAAAATTATACTTTAAGCTATGAAATGTCAGGAATTGTTGAACATGTTGCATATAAGGACCCAAATTGCCTCTCAAAATCTAGATATGTTCCATTTACAGTAATATGAAAGAGAACAGTCATTAAATCCTCACATTTAAGAAGCAGTAGCTAGTGAACGTTTTGACATTTTTGTGTAGTAAATGATAAATGATGAAACGTTTGGCAAAGGACTAAATCTACCAGATGTTTGACAGATGTGTATACACAATCAGCAGACACGGTGGAGATGACCTGCTGAAGTTCAAACTGAGCATCAGAATGGGGAAGAAAGGTGATTTTAAGTTACTTTTCAGAAACTGCTGATCTGCTAGGATTTTTCTACACAAGCATCAGTAGTGTTTACAAAGGATAGTTTGAAAAAAAGATAAAGTATCTAGCAAGCAGCAGCTCTCAAAAATATCTTGTTGATGCCAGAGGTCAGAGGAGAATGAACTTACTGCTTCAAGCGATAGGAAGGCAACAGTAACTCAAATAACACTTGTTACAACCAAGCTATAAAGATGAATATCTCAGAATACACAACACCCCAAGCCTTGAAGCAGGTGGGCTACACCAACAGAAGACCATACCGGGTGTCACTCCTGTCACTTAAAAACAGGAAACGGAGGCTACAATTTACACAGGCTCACCAGAAGACTGGAAAAAATGTTGACTGGTGTGATGAGTCTCGATTTCTGCTACAACGCTTGGATGGTAGAGTTCAAATTAGGGGTAAACAACATAAAAGCATGAATCCATCCTACCTTGTATCAAAGGTTTGGGGAGGAGGTGGTGGTGTAATTGTGTGCCAGATATTTTCTTGGTACACTTTGTGCCTTTTGTCTACTTACCGTGTCCATCTTGTCTTCCGAATGTTACTTCCAGCAGGATAACACCACTCCACAAAGCTCAAAATGATCTCAATGTTTCTTGAACATAACAGTGACTTATCTGTGTACAAATGGCCTCTACAGTTACCAGATCTCTATCTAATAGAGCAGTTTTGAATATGTGATGCTATTATGTCAACATTGACCAAAATCTCTGAGGAATGTTTTTAGCAACTTTTCGAAGTCTAGCCACAAAGAATTAAGGCAATTGTTAAGGCAGAAGGGGCTCCAGTAAAGTATTAATACTGGGTTGACTGGTGACTGGAGTACTTGTGACCTTCTTCTTCTTTTAAGATGTGCAGCCCAGTGCTTCATGGTCTATTTTTATGAATGATTTTTGAATGAATATATCTACATATTAGGCCAGGAAGGAACAATGAAAGCACTAAGAGTCAAAGGAAACTGTAAGGTGGTGTTTCATAAAATCAAAAATGCTCAAGGTTGCTAAACTGTTCCGGAGAGCACTGCAGAGGTGGGTGAGTGCTGTTACTGTATCACTAGAGCTGCTTTACAGAACTAAATAATGTAATAACACAAGCACAGATGATGGTCAACACTCTTATTTCAGCACTAAATGCGAAGGATGCTTATACAAAAGTTATAAATGTTGTGTCATCTGTTTATCACGCAATGTGAAATTCCTTAGTGCATCACTTAATACTCAATTGTTTTTTTTACTGTTAGTATATAAAAGTGCAGCTGATGGGGATTTGTTATTTATAATAGCCGGTATAAGCTTAATAATACTGAGTAAAAATGAAACCCTGTACTGAGACCGAACGTGTCACAGTTCAGAGTATTTGCCATCTTCTGTTTATTGTGCACGTTTAATTGAAAAAGGTGCTACACTCTCTTCCACCTCTGCAGCAGCTGCCTGCAATGGAAAACAGCAGCTTTCAGTACTTGCCAGGAAAAGGCAAACTGCTGTCAGACTGCTCTCAACTAACTTTGCACTTTTAATAGCTGAGTGACCCAGTTTGAATCCTATTGAATTAAATCTATACACATTTATAGCAGCTCTACTTACAGCTGTAAGTCACTAAGGATTACTTATTAAATGTCTCCCCGTGTGGTTTATTTTCTCAAAATATCTTCTTTTGATGGGATTTCCTGTCCATGATCCTGTTTACAGGCTATTTGCTTTTTTTTTCTTCTTCACCGTGTCGTTGGGTACCTCCAACTGGACATACACAATTCACACACACACACAAAAACAACCACAGAGGGGACCTTTGTAAGAAAACAAGTAGTTTGTTACTTTATCAATATTTCATGCCTTAATGCCCTTTACTGTGGTGTTAGGGTCCCTTTTTTATTTTTATTTTCTGTACATTTGTATTGCATAATTGCATATGGGCATGAAGTAACTGACTTAGAAAGTCACCTGTACAGTAGTGTGCAAAAGTCTTGAACCACCCATCATTTCTTTATATTTTGCTTCCAAGGAGAACTATCTTGTATTTTTTTTTTTAAAGTGGTCGTGAGCAAGGGTTCTCCAGGATCTCAGAAGGTCTTTCAAAGTTTTTCTTTGGACATCGGCTGCTTTTTAAGCAACTTAATGCTCACCTATGAATCATTCAAGGGTAAAAGAGCAATTTATTCAAGGGATGAGCCTGTATTGTCCACACATAACAGACAACTTGGCAATAAAAATACAGAATTTCTTTAATTGAATCAACAAATGCCAAAGGTAACACAGTTTGACAGGCAGACA